ACCTCTTTAAATTAGAATAGGAAATTAGGAATTTCCCGCTTTATCCTCTTAAGCTACATTCCCTATTATCTAATCCTTATCGCACTTCATCCAGCATTGAATATGTTACTTATGAAAGCATTACGATTAGATCCCTACACCTACAAATCAGGTCCACCCTATGGGGTGGACTTCACTATGATCCCACCTATGGTGGGGGGGTTAATTATTTAGATGAAGAAACTTGAGGCAGTAATACAAGTGAGCTTAGGTATAGTAAGATTAGCCCAATACTTCCTGTTCCTAGATCGGCTACTGATGGAACGAATGTCGCGAACAGCAGAGGTGCGAATAGAAGGAAGATGAATGAGATAAGTCCTAGAATAATGTATAATGCGTAACTTGTAATAACTCCTGTGTCATATTGAGCCACTGATCGACCTGTGTCGGTGAATACAGTGCTGAAACCGTAGGGACCGAATAACTCGATTACACCCCGGTCAATAACTTTACTTACCACGAAACCTAATGCTAGACCACCGCTAATGATATATCGGTTGTACACCACATCAAATAGCCATTTACCGTTGAAGTACCGGTATAGTGCAGCACCAAGCGCGTTGTCTCCTAGACTAATTGTGAAAGCCGGAACTACGTGGTATAGGTAAAGAGCAAGACCTGCTCCAAACATACTTCCAATAGCTGGAAGTAGTTTCATAAGTTGAGGTAGTCCGAATTCGGCTTCAACTAGGCTAATGTGATCTGGGTGTTGGAATAGAGCACCTGATAGGAAATCAGATCCGATTCCCACGAACAGGTCTTTAGCCACGTAACCAAACGCAATCGACATAATAGATAGAATTACTAGTGGAATTACGATAATTGTTGGCGCTTCGTGTGTATGTAGGTAATCTCCTTTTGGAGCGTTAGGTACAGTGAAGAACGTTAATGAAATTAATCGTAGTGAGTAGAAAGCTGTGAAAACAGCTGAGATTGTACCAAGCCAATAAGCAACAGAACCTGATAATTCGTATTGACCGAGTGCTACTTCAAGGATCAGATCTTTACTGTAGAATCCCGTTAGGAATGGGAACGCCATTAGAGATAGTGAACCAATAAGAATGGCTGTGTAAGTGAAAGGTAAGAAGTTTACCAGACCCCCTAGCCGACGTAGATCCTGTTGATCCGCCATTGCATGAATTACGGCACCTGCGGCTAAGAACAGCAGGGCTTTGAAGAACGCGTGGTTCACCAGGTGGAATAGAGCCACATTGTATTGTGACAGTCCAACCGCCATGAATAGGTATCCCATTTGTGACATTGTACTATAAGCAATAACTCGTTTCAGGTCATTTTGTAGAAGTCCTGTTGTCGCAGCAACGAAAGCTGTTAGAGCCCCTACCCAAGTAATTACGATTAATGCCGTTGGGCTATATTCGATTACTGGTGAAGATCGTAGCATTAAGTAAACTCCGGCAGTTACCAGAGTAGCGGCGTGAATTAGGGCAGATACTGGAGTTGGCCCTTCCATTGCATCAGGTAGCCATGTGTGTAGACCCAGTTGGGCTGATTTGGCCATAGCTCCGAGTAGAAGTAGTAATCCAATGATTGTGATTGCTGTTTCGTTAATGAAAGGTGCTACACTGAACACTGTTGCATAGTCAACGTTACCGAATACCCAGAAAATAGCGAAGAATCCAACACTTAGGAACATATCACCAACACGGTTAACCGTTAGGGCTTTAATACCTGATTTGTTAGCTTGGATTCGAGTGTACCAGAAGTTAATTAGAAGGAATGATGAAATACCAATACCCTCCCAACCGACGAACATGATAAGGTAGTTGTCCCCAGCTACTAGAACAAGCATGAAGAATGTGAACATTGACAGGTATGAGAAGAACCGTTGGTTGTGTGGATCTTCTGCCATGTATGAAATTGAGTAAAGGTGAACTAGTGATGATACAACTAGAACAGGTAGTAGCATCGATACAGTTAAGCTATCGAATAGGAATCCCCATGAAACTAGCATAAATTCTGAATCGATCCAGTAGAATGTTTGGATTGAAACAGGTGAACCACATAGACCAACTTCGTAGAAAGCTACTAGAGCTAATAGTGTTGTGGCCATTAGACAACCTGTTGTAATAATATGAGCTCCTGTTACACCGATTTTACGTCCAAGTAGACCGGCAACAGCTGAACCAAATAGTGGTAGCGCAAGAATTGATAGATACATTATGTGTGTAGTGAAATGTTACCTCGTAATCGATAGTAAGCTACTAGAATACCTAATCCAATAGCAGATTCGGCACCAGCAATAGCAATAATGTAAATACCATATGTTTGTCCTGCGATATCGTCGAAAGCATATGAACTAACTAGTACAAGTAATGTAACAGCAAGTAGCATAAGTTCGATTGAAATAATCATTAAAATAATGTTTTTTCGGTTAAGAATGAAACCGAGAATTCCAATTAAGAATAACATTAGAGATAAGTTCATAATCGAGTTTATAGTTCCTTATGGACAAGAATAAGTAACCTCCGATCTTATCTCTGTACTGCGACCCCACCATAAAAAAAATCTTTGATTTTAAATAAGCGGTAGGTAGTACAGGTAAAAGGTCATTTTGAATAAGAGGTTAGACACTAACCTTAGACCTTTATTCTTTTGAAAGAGAATGATCTAAGTGAGCAACAACTGTTTAATTATAATGTTATAAGGATCCCACCTTAGACCAGCATAAGGCTGGTCTTATTATAGGGCCCGAAAATTAACAGACGAGAAAAAGCGGGATCGAACCGCCATAATCCACTTCGACAAAGTGGTGCATTGCCATTATGCTATTTTCCCTATATCTCTCAGATTTTTGCCACACTATTCTAATGCGTCTTCTTTTACCTAATTTATAGTATTATCTAGTATCTTTTACCTAAGTATTATCACGAATGCTAGATTACCTCTTTCACCATTAATTTTTTTTATTTTTCTTTCCCCTATTCCTCCCCCCTTTGGGGAAAAATGGGGGGAGCAGCTGGGGAACGGAAAAATAAAATAGAAAGAAGAGCTGTATAGAAAATTGGCGGATGGACTTGCGCATATTGTTGTCTCGGACTAATCAGATTGACGAACCGTCCAAGCTTGGTAAAATATGATACTTGTCTACCATTAACATCTTTCATTACTACATAAACCACCCTCCGCCACTTAAAAAAATCTTTGATTTTTTTTAGGATGGACTTGCGCATATTGTTGTTTCTCTTCTGTTTCCCCCGTAGGGGGAAATAAAAAACGCAATATAATAATCTCTTAACTAAAAGTGAGAAAAATACATAATGTGAGGGGGGTTTAGTTGAGTTATCTATCAACCGCAAGTTCCCTTACGGTTACCTTGTTTCGACTTCAGAACAATTAGATAGCATTACTCGTAACGTTTGCCATTTGACCTACGCCACTTCATAATGAATATCCTCTTCTCCCGTGACGAGCAGTTAGTACATTAGAGAGATAATATTCACCGCGCCGTGATGATGCGCGATTACTCGGAATTCCTACTTCATGGGGGCGAGTTCCAGCCCCCAATCCGTACATTAATCTTCTTTGGTGATTAGCTCATTGTTACCATTTTGCATCATTTTGTAAAGATTCTTGTAGCACGTCTATAGCCCAGTCCATAAGGGCCATGAGGGTTTGTCATATTCCCCGTACTATTGATCTACTTTAAAAAAGAAAGACCACATAGAGATTCCTAGATACAACTAGAAATAGGGATTGCGCTCGTTATTTGGAATTAACCAGACATCATTAACACGAGCTGACGACAACCATGCAACACCTGTCTAAGATTCAAGGACTGGTAAGATTGTACGCGGATCATCGTATTAAATAACATGCTCCACTCCGTTTGCTCTCCAACCGTCTAATTATTTGTATTTCGGCCTTGCGACTATACTCTACAGGCGGTAGATTTAATGCGTTAGCGTCAAGACTAGTTTGTGTTTAATCTTTAATCTACATCGTTTACAGTTGGGAGTAATAGGGTATCTAATCCTGTTCCATGCCCCAACCTTCGTACCTCACCGTCAATTGTTAATGGTAAGTTGCCTTCGCCGTTAGCACTCCCCTTGGGATCAGCGGATATCAGCCCTACTCCAAGTATTGTACTTACCTCTATCCAATTCTAGTCTTAAAAAGACCGGCTACGTACCCTTTACGCCAATTCAATTAATATTGCTTGCGGGAGCCGTCTTACCGCTCATGCTGGCACGGCAATTGTGACCCGCTACTAGGTTCTCGATCAATTTTCAAGAACCCTTATCAGATTTTGATACTATCTCTTTTCCGAATCTAGGTGACGTGTTCAGACTTTCATCCATTGACAACGATTCTCCACTGCTGCACAGATAATCTGCGGTGGAATTTTTCATGTCCACTGCTATATTTAAAACTTTCATTCTATATTACTCATCATCGGCTTGTTAGGCATTACCCCACCAACTACCTATTGAGAAGCTAAGCAAACCATTGTGCGGATAATTGATCCTTTTACGCTATTCCTGCGATCACAATGAAATCTTTCTAAGCCTTCCTAGCCAGTACGCCATGGTCTGTAAGACCATTCGGCTTGCATGTGTTAAATCCCTAGATAGCAATCATTAAGCACCATAATCAAATGCTTTTTGTAATTCATTACCTTCGAAGAAGAAGGGTAATGATGCGACTTACGTCTTATTGTATGCTAACCTTCCCTTGTATAAAGTTTGGTTAAGATATTTCTGTTGTTTATCTTTTTGTATAAGTACCCAGGATCGAACTGGGATCATCTACTTGGAAGGCAGAGGCACTAACCATTGTACTATACTTACTTTATTATTTGTTACTCTTTTACTTAAATAAGTCGTAGGTATGCCGATAATAGTCCAAGAGTGAAAGGAATCGAACCTCCATAAGCGACTTTGGAGGTCGCTGTATTAACCATTATACGACACTCTTTTGTATGTTTAATAGATATAGCTTTTTACAAGCGGAGAGACTTGAACTCTCACAGCCGGGGCCACACCATCCTAAGTGGTGCATGTCTACCATTCCATCACGCTTGCCACCCTATTATCTATTGTCATACAATGGCTTATGTTACTCTTTTACTTCAATTATCCTTATTAGCAATCAAAAAGTACACTGTCTATAGAACAGGTTGATAGCGTGATAGCCAGTTCCCCTTCCCCTTATATAGTTGTATTTATATCTCACGAACTGTACGAATTCGGGAAGGGGGTGGATTCTTTACAGGGCTTGGTCATAAGGTAACTCATTATTTAAATGTTGTAAAGAAGACGGGGGATGGGGCAACCTATTGCATTAATACGCCTTTTAGGCTATCAAAAGACAAATTTTCTCCATTAGCCTCAAGAGGCTAATGTGCTCAAGATGGTGTGCTTTACTTAGATATGAAGCACTAATGACATCTCGCATCAAATGATTTGCTTGTTATCATTATTATCATCCCCCCATAATCCCCCCTTTCTAGTTTTTTATTTTTCTTTCCCCAGCGTAGCTGGGGAACGGGAAAAATAAAATCGGAGGTGACATATGGCTATAGTAGGATGTGGCAGATAACTCCTCCGGTGGAGGATGGAAAAAAATGTATTATGCTGGACATACGTTCGCACTAATTATAACATATAAACTATTTCCCCCCGGAGATCGCTGACAGATGAACCACCAGAAAAGGTCACGAAAATATATGATTAGGATTAATGAAGTAATCCTAATATTATTGTCTACCATTATCCCTCTTTTTTTTTGTAGGAGGTGGTGAACGAAAGGGGCTATCTAAGTGAATGAGTGTAGTTTCGCTCTAGTCTGGAAAACCTTAGAATAGTCCAGTTAGGCTTAAAAAAATTGAAAATTTTTTTTAGGCCTAACGCCTTTAGCCTTATTATTTTTTCTGCTTCCAGCTTCTCCATCCCCCTGTTTTTCTCGCTACGCGAGAAAAATGGGGGAAGTAGTTTTATTTTTAATCCTTGTTGCAATTACTCTTTTAGTTCAAATAGTTTAGAAAACGTCTCTTTTCCTATTTCCCCATCTTTTTTTTTATAAAAAAAAAAGAAAAAAGGCGAAACAGGGTTTAATACATGAAACTGTTTACCTTCCTCTAGCTTAACCGACACTTAAGGGTTTATAAATTGCCCTCTTCCATAAGCTATATACAAAGATAAAGGGGGATTTGTAGATAGTTTAAAAAACTATGAGTATAGAACTAGGAATGAGATCATAAGAGCGAATACAAATTGTTTTATTGTTCCTAATCTTTTATTTTTCTTTTTTAAGATGCATATGGTGATTTAGGAATGAGGTTTTATACCTTTCAATGACTTGCGCCATTGTTCAGACTACATCATAGACTTTGTCTACTTATTTCTAAGGAAAGGAACTTTCCTAGTCGTTAGACTTGCGAAGAACCGCAAGCTGCTAGTTGTCTGCTATTAACAGAATTTCTAGCAATCATTAAGTTTTATACTGGATTATTATTTTAGTCCAGTTGCTTCCGCTAGGGCGACATTATATTACAGAGTTAAAAACTCGTCAATGATTTTCATCATTGATTAGACTATATTTTCAATAGTGTGCACTATTGCTAAGTATTCTAGACATAGCTTAGGCTATGTTAGTCGTTGAACGGAAATGTTTCCGCGGCATGTTAAAGAATATTCCTCTTCATGCCATTATATTAGTTTGTCATTAGGACTTCAATTTATCCTAGAATTGCGAAAGCGAAAAGTTGTGGTCGAACCGCTGGGTTTCGAGCTGTTGAAGCGATCAGTGATGAGAAGATTGAACCGATTCCGATTCCCGCCCCTGTAAGTCCGATTGCTGCTAGTCCTGCTCCAATGTATTTTGCTGCTGCTAACATTGTGGTAATTAGTGATTTTACACCCTTCCAAATTACAAAGTAAAGAGGATCAAGAACCTTTAGGTTCTGAGGGTTCGTGAACAAAGATGGGAACCATGCACTTTATAAAAATAGTAGAGGTTTATCCATTACTTTTAGTAATATCTCCGGACAAATGATATGAAGAATTAAATATATGTAATATCACGGCCTGTGGCTGTAACAGTGTCTTGCCCTCAGAAAGAATCGAACTTCCGACCGTAATTTACAAGATTACTGTTATACCATTTAACTATGAAGGCTTTCTTTCTCCACCAAGAGTGATGGAAGGAGGTTTGGGAAATATCAGCTCCTAAGGGAATCGAACCCTTTTTACCTGCGTGAAGGGCAGGAGTATTACCGATATACGAAGGAACCCTGTAATAACTATGGTAGACACTGTTGTAATTGATGAGTAAGCGAGGCAAGGAGTCGAACCTTGTATAATAGCTCATGAGGCTATTGTGTTACCGTTACACTACCTCGCATCTTACTTAAAAAAAGTAGAAAAGGGGGGATTTGTATAATTAGCTTAAATTAAGCTTGTGATGGAACAGGTTGTACTGATCCTTCTTTAGCGTCCGCTGGTGTTGATGCAATATCAGCTAGAGTGTTTTCTACAACTCCAATAACTGGTACTACTACAACGAACCATGCGAAGTAGAATACTGTAGCGAAAGCTCCAACAGTAATGTATGGTTCTTCGGCGTGTTGTGATCCTAGGTACATTAGTAGGAAGAAATCTGTTACGAAGGCCCAGAATGCAAATCGCATTAGAGGTCGGAATTGGCTACCTCGAACTCGAGATGTATCAAGTAATGGCATAGCCAGTAGAATTAATAGTGACCCAAGCATTCCAACAACTCCTAGAAGTTTGTTTGGAATTGACCGTAGAATTGCGTAGTATGGTAATAGGTACCATTCAGGCACAATTGAAGGTGGTGTTTGCATAGGGTTCGCTGGGATATAGTTGTCACTATGTCCAAGAGCATTTGGCATATAGAATACGAATAGCGCAAGGATTAGGAAGAATAGGAAGATTGTTACTAGATCTTTGAATAGGTAGTATGGGTGCATTGGGATTTTGTCCGCGTTTGATGACACTCCTAGTGGGTTTGATGATCCGTGTTGGTGTAGTGCAATCATGTGAGCTACTGCTAGAGCAGATAGTAGGAATGGTAGTAGGAAGTGTAGTGAGAAGAACCGGTTTAGAGTTGCGTTGTTTACACTGAACCCTCCCCATACGAATTGAACGAAGTCTTGTCCAATCCATGGAATAGCTGATAGCATGTTTGTAATTACAGTCGCTCCCCATAGAGACATTTGCCCGTAAGGCAGTACGTATCCTAGGAAGGCAATTCCCATCATTAATACCAGGATGATTACCCCAATTGACCATACGATTGTTCGAGGTGATTTGTATGATCCGTAGTATAGACCTCGACCAATGTGTAGGTAAACGAAGATGAAGAAGAATGAGGCTACATTAGCGTGAATGTACCGAATCATCCATCCATAGTTAACATCTCGCATGATGTGTTCTACTGATACGAATGCTAAATCAACGTTAGGTGTGTAGTGCATTGCAAGGATTACTCCTGTTACAATTTGGATTCCTAGACATGTCGCTAGTAGAGATCCTCCGTTCCAAGCGTAACTTAGGTTAGCTGGTTGTGGTGAATCAACTACGTAACTGTTAACAAGTCCAAGAAGAGTGTTTCGTTTTAAAAGTCGCATATTTAATTTATTTTACTAACTAGGACTAAAAAATCGAAGATTTTTAAGTCTTAGAGATATGGAGAATGGCAATGGCCATTTCCGGTTTCGCTTCTTTGATTGTTAGTCGTATTTCTTTTGTTCCCCACCTACGGTGGGGAAAGATAGGAAATGAAGAAACAGGTATGTTTGAGTAGTCTTGTTACAACTGGCCTATTGCCAGTAAAGTTAAGCTCAAGAAGAATCGAACTTCTACGACACCCTTATCAAGAGTGTATACTAACCGTTATATTATGAGCTTTACCAGGCCTTCTTTTACCTCCCATCTCCTCCCCTACGGGGAGGAGAAGGAGGTAAGAGGTGCGAAGATCTGTTGTAAGTGTGGCACGACGATTGTTACTCTTTTACATCTTTTTTATTACCGTTCCCCAGCTTATTTCCTCCCTCGTAGAGGGAGGAATATGGGGAAAGAAAAGGGGCAATATTAAAAATCACTCACTTTTACTTATGCCACATAGAACTAATCACACCACCACCCAAGGGTGGTGGTGTCGTCTATAAAGTTGTGTGTTATGTCGATTAATGATATGTAATAATACAATCCTCCGCCTTTTTATTTTTTCTAAAAGAAAAAATATAGGAAGGATGGGGGGGGGGATTAATTATTTTTCTTGTGTTGACCGTAGACATAGTGTAATAGGTCCAAGCATTGAAAGTAGAAGGATAACACTAGCTAATAGTAGCCAGATTGATCCGTATGTGTAAAGTCCTTGACCGATTGCTTCGATTTGTAGGAAGTCTGTGAAACTGTTATCAACAGTTGGTCCAGTGAAGGCCATGTGTACGTTGTTGCTATCTAGTTGGGGCATTGAGTTACCTAATAGAAGACCGTTAATGTAGTTGAATACACTTAGTGGTACACTTGTAAGACTTGAGGCTGATGAAGCTGGAACGATTGACAGAATTTCGAAGAAGAATAGTGATCCGACAATTAGACCTAGTGGTAGGTTTTTAGTATATTCGGATCCTACTGATGTAAGTGATGAAATGTTAATGTTCAGCATCATAACCACGAATAGGAATAGAATAGCGATGGCACCTACGTATACGATAAGGTATGAGATACCTACGAATCCAACACCTAATAGTAATAGGTATCCAGCTGCGTTAATGAACACACTGATAAGGAAAAGTACACTGATAACAGGGTTTTTTGATGTAATTACTAGTACTCCTGAAAGTACAGCACCAAAAGCTAGTAGATCTAGTAGGAAGTTGTTCATGATGAATTTAGAAAAGGGGCGACATTGCCTTGCAATGCTTGTCCGGCTACGTAACTCTTATATGTCCCCCCTGTTTTTCTCGCTACGCGAGAAAAATGGGGGGGAAAAGAGATTACATAGGTGAACAATAAAAGCCCGAGGACACAAGGGCTAGTATAATAACTGCCTTATGTTGGCATAACCATAAGGTCCTTTTGTAGTACATGGTCTCCTCCACCTTTCCTCGCATTTCTATGTCTATTTTAACAATAAGAATCGGAGATTTTATGGTGGGCATGAGTCTGAGGATAATATTACAATAAGGAAAGAGCCGCCAGGAAGAATCGAACTTCCTTCTTCTCATTAACAGTGAGTTGCTCTACCGTTGAGCTATGGCAACTATATGCGACTAGTAAGTTTCTCACCAACACGACCCCCCTCCGGGGGTAGAGGTGTTGGTATGCAATAGCAGGATAACAAATGAATCAGGTGGACAGGAGTCGAACCTGCACGATCTCCCACCCAAAGGGAGCGCCAAACCATTAGGCTTCCACCTGTCTAATATACGAATTTTCTCCCCTTTGTTTTTCCCCCCCAAAGGGGGGAAAAATCGGGGAGGAAGTTATAAAAGTGTTGTGGGAATTTACCTTCCCTACTTTTGCCCCTACATTAGAACTATGAAAGGAGCACATCTACCCTACCAAAGGGAAGGTAAGATTAGGTTACTCTTTTACCTAATACCCCTCCACCAGTTTTCCTTTCTCTGAAAAGATAAAAGGGGGAAAAAGAGTGGAGGAATTGTGTGACGTTAACTTTTAGTAAAGGGGGATTAATATATGCCAAAACCCTCATCCCTCCTGCATAAAGCATTGACTAGTGGCCGCTTCTGTTCTCCCCCCTTGGGGGAGAAGAAAGGGTGTTACAAGCCGGGAGTTGAACCCGGAAGTCCTCTCCAAATGTCTGCGATCCTCTGGTTTCCCCCTTCATCTTCCCCCGGAGGTGGAGGAAGGAAAAATAATAAGCAGGGAGGAGATTACATTACCAGAAACCGGAAATGGGCGTAGACACTGTCCTTTTTTTTTTGATAAAAAAAAAAGGAAAGAGACACAATTATAATTGTGCCCTGTACTGCGGTTCCAATGGCCCCGTGGGTGCTTTCACTAATTTTCTTGTAACTCTTTTAGTTAATAATTATTAATCTCACTTTTAGTTGATACTCTGGTCATAAGGCAGGGAGGCTTATATCTAATTATGCATACCTTTTTCTCTCACTATTGTTTCTTACCCTACGGCTGAAGAAAGAAAAAAGAGGTCAAGTTCAAAGTGAATAAATGCGGGATGTGTTCCAAGACTTATTAATTCAACCGATAATCTCCCCTCCTATATTTTTTCTGAAAGAAAAAATAAAAAGGGAGATTATTGCCATAACCGTTATCTATTCTCCCCCCAAAGGGGGGAGAAAAAACGGTTATTCTACGTAGTCATAAGTTGTGCCTAAGACCTAGATACCTTTCCCTCTCCTGTCATACATTTGCTCCTTTGGTATTTGATATGGAATATATGTAACTCACCGACCCCCCTTTTGGGGGTAGAGTTAAGACGACGATTATATTTTATACGCATGAATCAGCCTAAAAATAAACTAAGATTGGTGGCTGGTTATAAATCATGTAATCGATCGCATAAGAAATAACCCTCTTCCTCCATCTCTGAAGAGATGGAGGAGGAAAAGGGAATAAAGAAAAGGGTGTGTGTAATATAGTAGGCGTAAGTAAAACGGCAATTTAGTATCACTAAGCTAATGGCCTCACGGCGGGACACTTGTGACCTATCGTTCCTTTTTATAAATAAAAAGGAAAAAAGAGGTAGTCTACCTCTTGCCTTATATTATCTCCATTGGCAGGTTTCGTAACTTATATGCTTTCAGTTCTTCTCCTTAACGCTCGTGGCTACCCAACGGTGCCAAGTAAAAACTCGACAATTGGTACACTAGAGGAGCGCAGAATGTAATCCTTTCGTACTAACAGTCCGCCCAATATTGATAATTCTTCTATCTGGAAGATAGGAACCATACTGACTCACGTCGTATTGACAAGTGTATTGTTGTGGAAACTCTCCACTCAATGATTTTCACCATTGTTTAGACTATATCTTCGATTGCCTTAGGCAATCGCTGGATGTTTTAAATATTTACATATTAGTCGTTGAACGACATTACTTTTGCCCCCATCTTTTCAAGTTCCCCACCATTGGTGGGGAAAGGAAGAAGAACACAATTAGGTAATTCGTAGCAGATTAGATAAATCATCTCTGCATTTTTTCCAGTTGTTATGAGAATAAACTCATATGGGCTCAATTAACCCAACTCGCGTACCCTTTTAATCTGCGAACAGCAGAACCCTTCCAAGCTTGTGCACCTGGAGGATAGGATGAGTCGACATCGAGGTGCCAAACACCGCAGACAATGTGAACTCTCGTGCGGTATCAGCCTGTTATCCCTAGCGTAACTTTTATTTCTTGAGCGATGGCCTATCCATTTAGGACCACCGGATCACTAAATCCTACTTGCGTACCTGCTTCACTTATAAGTGTTGCAGTCAAGCATGCTTATGCTTTTACACTTTACTCGACTCTACTTAGTCAATTAGTTTCCATCTAATACAAGCATACCTTTGAAGTCCTTTGATACTATATTAAAGGAAACCGTCCCAGTTAAACTACCCACCAGTCATTTTTTCCAAATCTTCGGATAAGTGTCGGTTTTAAATCAGTAAAGGTATTTCATTTGCGCTCTATCGAGCTCCCTTCTATTCTACGCCTGACCAAACCAAACACGATAACTAGCTGTAGTGAAGCTGCATAGGGTCTTCCCGTCTACCCAGATACAAACCGCATCTTCACGGCTAATTCAATTTCACTGAGATACTGCCCGAGACAGCAGAGCCATCATTACTCTATTGATGCAGGACCGCATTTAACGGCCAAGGAATTTCGCTACCTTAGGATCCTTATACAAGCTATTATTTTGTGATTTTTTGCACAATCTTATTTTTTCAAATAAGTTTAGACTATGTCATCTTTTTATTTTTTTCTCCGAAAAAAAGCAAAAGTAGGGTATTTTGACCAGAAAACTGGTAAGTCGTTGAACATATTAACAATAAATATGTCGCAAATGAGATCTTAGATCTTTCTTTGCCATTAGCCCTATGCGACAAAAGCAAGTGCTTTTGAAGAACTATTTTAGTTAAGACCGCCATTCACCAGAGGTTCGTGTTGCTCTAGACAAGCAATCACTTATACTCATGGCATTGGGCAAGATTCAGTGCCTATACAATGTTGTTACATAGCAGACACCTGTGTTTTAGGTAAACAGTTGTGGCTCCCGATTCTGTGTCACCACTGAAATTTCTCTCAATGGTCGTCCTTATTATCGAATGTACGGACGCAGTTTGCCGAGTTCCTTGGGCAGTATTATCTCACACCTTAATATTCTCTATCTACGAACCTGTGTCGGTTTAGGGTACGGTAAAATACAAATCCTTTTCTTGGACCAACTTCAGTTGGCCTACAATTTGTAAAACTCATCGAACTACAACATTAGTCATAGATCTTAGAGGCCGTCTTAACCTATGGCTGATTAACATTTCCATAGAACCCTCTCGTATTCGGTGAGAAGTATTATAACTTCTTTCTACGTTACTCATGTCAGCATTCTCTCAGGAGTTTCGTCCAAATAATGAAACACTATTCTTCATCCTCGCTCCTTGCTCCCCTACTTAGTTTAGTGTTGCACACTAAACTAGCATAGTTTCGGTATGTTATCTAGACCCGTTTATTTTCGGCGCAGATATTCATTAGACTACTGAGTTGTTACACTTTCATTAACAGATTGCCACTACCAAGCACACTGCATAGTTGTATTCGAATTTCCACTTCCTTAATTTCACTTAATAACAATTTTGGGACCTTAACATATGCTCACGGCTGTTTCCGTCTTGACTACCCACCTTATCATGAGCAGTCTGAAATCCAAAGATCGAACATAGTAATTCCGAGGTTAACTACCAATGATAGAGTTTTGCAACCCCCCAATTAAACGATCAATGATCGTATGGTAATCAGTGCTGTACCTGCTATGTTGTTTACTATTTGGAGTCATACTTAAATATGTTTCGAGGAGTACCAGCTATCTCGCTATCAGATTGGTCTTTCACCTACATTACACCCCTCATCGAATGACAATGCAACGTCAACTCGTTCGGCCCATTATAAGCCTGGAGGTATAAAGATCATAGCGTTTCGGGTCTTATAATAGTAACTATCCCGCACTATATAAATATAGCCAGTCGCTTTCGCTGGGGTTTTAACCTTGCTACTACTACAAACTTGCTGCAATTTATTACTCCAATGTTTTCACATTGGTTTAGACTATACTTTCTACTGTGCAAAAAACAGTAGCTGACGTTTAACAGATCAATTACGTAGATCCGTGTCATCCAAACCTATTATCTTGGAATAGGCAAGGAATCAGTCGTTACGGGGCAAATAAACAATAGTCTATAGGCTTCCCACGGTATTATCTAATGGCGCATGAGCCACCAGAGATTCACCGTTAGCACGAATAAATTCGTACCGGCATTTGCCATGAGTCAGTTTTATATGGGCTAGCAAATGTGTTGGAGGTCTATCCGAACGCATTACTCACCGTTGTCTATGACATTCAACGGCTATTGAGATAACTGTGCCACCCATTATACAAAAGGTACGTTATCACTCGTATTGTTTACAAGCTCTAACTGCTTATATGATTGCTAATTCAGGTTCTATTTCACCAGTCATTGACTTACTTTTCATCTTTCCCTCACGGTACTTTTCACTATCGCTAAACACGTATACTTAGCCTTAGAGAATGGTATCCCTATATCAATGTGTAAGCCCAAAAGCTTACACAAAGAAGTATTCAAGCAGAATTTCCTCCACTTTACTTGTTAAGCAAGTCAGGATTAGTATACAGGGCTATCACCTTCTAAGGATTGCTTTTTCCAAAGCATTCTACTAATTCCATCATTGCTAGGCTAGTCCAGTTTCGCTCGCCACTACTTCTGGAGTCTCGGTTGATTTCCTTTCCTACAGTTACTTAGATGTTTCAGTTCACTGCGTATAATATATTAGGTTTTCCCATAGGAACGCTATGGTCTTCGTTTCTTCCCAAATGCCTTTTCCCCCGTAGGGGGAAAACAAAGCAAAAGGGCCATAGCTTTTGGTGTTTCCACCTCCTTTCAATACGTGTTTGCTAGACATCCTTAACAATCACTTTGATTACTTACGCCTAAATTTCTATATTATTGTGATACTTTTAATGCTCTGTCAGATCCTTGTTACAATGTCTCTTTTATCTCACTTAGATTAGGTACCAGAAGACCCCCCCCATTCCCCCGAAGGGGGGGAAAGGGTGGTCTAGAGAACTGTACAATAAGGGGGATTAAATAGAGAATGATGGATAAGCTTTTTGGCTAATCCACACTTTAACGGTGAAAGCACCTTTTTTGTTTTTACTTGTGTATGCGGCATATTCCACTACTCCTTCGGCCTGGTCCGCACCAGGTTTGCTAATCGCTTGAGCAATGGCAGAGCTTGAGAATGACCCAATTTGAACTGTTTGCACAGTTTGTCGTGGTACTGATCGTTGTGTTGTTAGTCGACCAGAGATTTTCACTTTCAGTCCTAGAATCTGTGCCGGTAATAATGGTGTTGAATCTGGTCCAGATAGTTGCACACGTGTGAATAGAGAGTTAGTGATCGCCTTCAGGTTGTATTTTCGTGTGTTCATTGCAATGAATTGTGCCAGAATGTAGCTGTTTAGGTATGGATAATGTAGTCGAACTAATCGTAGTTCGACTGGTGATTTGTATAGTTTACTTAGTACTTGCCCAAGGCTGTTGATAGTACTGTTGTTTAGCGCTTGGTTTTTAACTGGAATAAAGTAAAAGACGTTTACAACGACTTTGTTTCCGAGTACAGTGAATACCGGTTTTCCGGCTAGTACTTGTGTTTTTGAGAAGTAATCGGCGATGATTTGAGTCGCCGCACGGTTGTTGTTTCCTAACACTACTGCGTTAGTTAGTGGACTAGCACTGCTAGTCCCCGTTGCAAGACTTTGTGCTTGCAGCACTTTTAGATTAAAATTGTTCATGTTTGTATTTGTAATTTCATTTAACTGTTTCTAATCCCATTATTTCCCCCCCTGTTTTTCTCGCGTAGCGAGAAAAATGGGAAACAGAAACGACCATCTAAAGATGGTCAAGCTACGTGAATAATGGTTAGAATGTTACGTATATAGACTCGTTTCTGTCCTATCATTTTATCTCCTCTATGCCTATGTTAGGAAGGAGACTTTAATAACAGACTTTTGTCCGATACACGAATAGTCGTGCACCTCCCTCATCCTAAAAAAATCTTTGATTTTTTAAGCAGGCGGATGGAGTGCCTGATATATAATATATTAAAATATTTAAGCTACATCTTTTTGGAAGGAGAAGGACAGATTACCGAAAAAAGGAATCGAACCTTTCTTATGTCGTTATGAGTGACATGTTTTAACCTACTAAACTATTTCGGCTTTCCTGTTTAGTCTAGTATCCCAGATATCAAGGACACCACCACTAAAAGGTGGTGGATTGTCGTTACATACTATTGGCATGTATAACTAATTATTTTCCCATTTTCTCCCCGCAGGGGAGAAAAAAGTAAGGGGATTTGTGTAATAGACCAGCTGCCAATAGGCCAAGTTTTGTAAATATGCTAATTAATGACTAAAGGATCTATTGTTTAGACCCTGTCCACCTATAAATCTTAGATTTTTAAAGCGGTAGATTGTTGACCAATCAATGGGATTTGTTGTACGAAGACGATGTGACATCGTCTATTATTTTCTTTAATTTACCTTGACTCACGCCAACAGCTGCATAAGCCGCATGATTAAAGTGGTCTCAGACCTTCCTGATTTACTTTTTTTATGGAATAAAAAAAAAATGGTATAGTAAACCTAGCATTAGGCAACCTGGCAAAATCCTCCTAACTCCAAGAGTTTGCCAATTAGAATTGGATCACTTCACAGAATCGAACTGTGACAATATCATCCACAATGATATGTTCTACCATTGAACTAAAGCAACCTGTGTTCTTTTTCCCCGACTCATTTTATTTCGTCATCGCTTCTTCCTCTACCGGAGGTGGAGGACGGGGGGGGTTTGAAAGTTTATTTAATAAGGATTATGATCCCCACCAGTAAACAGATACGTATAGGAATAGCCACACAACGTCAACGAAGTGCCAGTACAGGATTGCTCCTTCGAAACCTAGGTGGTGGTGGTCTGTAAGGTGGTAGTTAAGTAATCGTACAAATCCAACGGCAATGAATAATGTTCCCACAATAACGTGGATACCGTGGAAACCTGTACTGAAGAAGAATACTGAACCGTAAACTCCATCGGCAATTGTGAATCCTGCTTCGATGTATTCGAATGCCTGTAGAGCAGTGAATAAGACAGCTAGAATAATTGTTAGACCTGTTCCAATGATTGCACCTTTTCGGTTTCCTTCGATTAGAGCGTGGTGACCGTATGTTACAGTTGCTCCACTTGAAAGAAGTAGAACAGTGTTTAGTAGAGGAACCGCGAATGGGTTAAGCGCGTCGATCCCAGCAGGTGGCCAAGAGCCACCTAGCTCTACTGTAGGCGCTAAGGCTGAGTGGAAGTAAGCCCAGAAGATTGAGAAGAAGAATAGAGCTTCTGATAGGATGAATAGTGAAACACCCATTGTAATTCCTTTTTGGACTGAGAATGTGTGGTCTCCTAGGTATGTTCCTTCAATTGTCACGTCTCGGAACCATAGAATCATGGCGAAAAGTGTTGATAGGAATCCTAGTGTTAGAAGTACTTCGGCGTATTGGATACCGTTGAAGTAAAGTACTCCTGAAACTGTTAGAGTAAGCAGAGCGAATGATGTAAGTAGAGGCCATGGTGATGGTTCTACCATGTGGTATGGGTGGCTCTGGAATTGTGTTCGTGCGATGTTTGTCATTGCAAGTTTCTTGCTATTAGATAAGATTTCTGCTCTAATCTAGTAATTCTAGAAAAGAATAGCCAATAGTTAATGTCCACCACAGCCCCAAAGGGGTGTGGTGGACGGTTATAGATATGTCACTACTTGTTATGTTTTTATAACTATACTCCCTTTAACCCTCTTTATCTCATTCTCCATTTTCTTAGAAAATGGAAAAGGAAAGGGTAATGACAGGAAAAGGAATGCCAACCAACCTCCTAAAAGGTGGTTGTAATAGTGAACGCGTAGTTTATTTTTTTTTTTTTGATTTATCAAAAAAAAAACAAATCGAGATTATG